CTTAACATAGATGTTTTCCTTCACGCCCCTCTAACCACCTTCTTTGTCCAAAGTGTTCAATTTCTGGTCCTTTATTCATACAGAACATCCGTTCTCTGCGGTCGTTCACCTTCCAATTAAATGCGATTTCTAAAACGAATACGTTTGCTGTGATTTTATTAATTTAGCGTTAATCAGTATAAAAAAATGAAACCATAAATTTCGTGGCGATAACCGAGTCTGGGAGCGGCCATTTTGCTCAAATATAGTAACCCCTCCCTCCTGCCAGCAGTGACATCACGGTGCAGTAAGCCTGAGTTCGCTTCTCAAGAAGATACTGTTTGTAAAATAAGACGTTGGCTGTGATTTAGATAAAACTGACAGAGAAGAACGTCACAGTAACGCTATAAAAACAGGGGCGCTGCCCAGAATTTGGAGTCCCATGATAGACACTGATATTGGGCCCCACCAAGAAAAAGATGTATGTAAGCTTTTAAACTGCTGTAGAGATGCATTGATGTGTTTCATTCATTATCACTATTTAAAATGAGGCATGCGTGGCGCTTTAGCCGCGGTACGAGCAAACTGCCGGCGACAGACGGAGAGAAATGATGCGATGCAGGAGAGGTCAATATATTCATGCTTGGTTTTGCTGTTTACTCCTTAAAAATCAGGCAGAACACAAAAATTATTTATTTCACTTTGGGATTTTCTTTTTATATTTGGAAATTATAGTGGGACAAATCTTTTCTTCTTCTTTTGGGCCCCCCCCTCACTCAAGGGCCCTTAGAATCTTCCTAACTCCCCCCCCATACGGCGCCCCTGACTATAAATGTTGTATCTTTATTCCCAACATGTTCTGCAGGAATGTTTACAGTGATGTCTCCACAGAGGGGGGTGGGGGGGGGGTCGATGTATTTTTAGTTTTGCACATTTTGCAAAATTTCAAAGATCAAATGCTGTAAAAATGTAAAAACAGACACATTCAAACTGAATTCCACTAAATACGGTAAAGTTTAACTAAGTGTGTGAAAATAAAGTGCTGCCTTCAGTATTTTCAGTTGGTGAATAAAATTCTAACTTTCTCAGCATTAGAAATCGTTTCCAGGATAAACGGTGGAATTAGAAACCAGTCAAAGCTGTGTGGCTTCATCTGCTGACGGACTGACTGACTGAATAGGAAGCAGCAGGTTTGCTCTGGTTGCTCGTAACTGTTGTGAAAATGTTGATAGTGATGTGAGAGACGCAGCGACGCTGGAAGAGGCTTCATCAACATCTGAACCTTCAAAATGAGCTTCCTGTGTGTCTGAGCTGATGAACCTTCTCTTCAGGTTCAGTGACGCTCTCCACCTGCTGGACGGGAGGACATGTTTGTTCTGGGATCTTTGGAGGCGTTCGCCTCTCTGTGTTGAAACATGGACTTTTGTCTGTTTGCCTGTTGCCTTTATTTCTAACAAACCAAACATCAGCGTGCAGGGGGCGGGGCTTAGAGTGATGCTCTGCTGCCATTGGTTCAACACTCTGAAGTTCATCTGACCACAGAGGAACCTCCATCAGATATCCGTCTGTATTTGTAATTATTGATGAATTTCTCAGCAGAGCAGCTGAAAGATAAAATGTTTGATTTTTAAGGTTTAAATGTTTCTGAAACCAGAAACAAATCATTTGGATGAAGCTCCTCGTTTTCAGCTCTAATGGAGATTAATCAGTAAATTAAATCCTGCAGCTTGGTCCCTCTGCAGAAATAGGAAACATACGACGTCTCACTGTTTCACACTCTATAAGAATCAAACCTTTATCTATTTAATATTATTGAATTATTATAGAACTACAGATGATGATGTTAGAAAGAGCCTCAGTGAGGATGAGCATTACTGAATCTGAGGAACACATGGAGGTTCTAAGCACGTTCTGTCCTGCAGGAAACTTTTACCTCCAAACCTTCAGTGTTAGTTTTACCTCCAGCCGATCGTGGATCAGAGTCCTTCCATCAGCTCCGGGGGTTTGGAGGAACGTTCAGCCGGAGGAAAACGCAGCAACCTTCTCGTCTGGACGGGTGGTGGGATCTGCAGGTCCTTCAGGTCCCAGCAGGTCCTGCCTGAGCCTCGTGTTGCTTCACAGCTGACTGCGAGGTTTGGACGTCTAAATAAATCCTCAACCACCACCTGCTGCACGACAACTGTCCCCCCCCCGACACACACACACACAGACTCTCTGCAGCAGTTGGTTTCTATTTCTGACCTCCAGGGAGCTTAACTCTGTCTACACACACACACACACACAGACTCTCTGCAGCAGTTGGTTTCTATTTCTGACCTCCAGGGAGCTTAACTCTGTCTGGAGCTCACACTTTTATTGAAGTTTTACTTCCTGATTAACTTTATTTTTTAAGTTTATTTATAAAGTGTTTTAACAGCAACCAAAGTGCTGAACATCAAAGATAAAAAACAGAAAAAACTTACAATGTGTTTATAAGCTAAACATTTAACAACAACGTATAAAATGAAATCAATAAATAGATCAAATCAGTAATAATGGAGAGAAATTAAGTAAAAAATAAATAAAATTGTGTTAAAAGCTGATGTGTAAAGATACGTTTTTAGACGTTTTTAGGGCCTGTCTAATGTGCTGAGTGCTGCATGATGCACTGAAAAAAATATGCAACCATTTTCAGCATTTAATTAAACACATTTAGTTACTTTAAGACAATAGTTTCATGTTAGCAGGGTTGGACACAAAACAATATGATTAAGAATAATCTGGATGCATTATTTTTTCAGTGTAGGGGCCCCGATAGAAAGGGCCCCGTCCCCTCTAAGCTTCCTGGTCAGCAGACCTGGGTTAGTGCGCAGTCACATAACTCTGATGAAAGGAGGAGGATTTTATTTTATTACAATGTTTAAGGCTAAAAAAAGATAAATGTAGCTCAGAAAAGGCAGTGGGGCTTATTTTAGCTTGAAAAGCAGCAGTTTTAATATATTTTATAGATTTTTATGTTATTAAAGGTGTAAAAATTCTACATTTTCTTATATACAATGATTGTGAAAATAGTGAAAAAATACTTGCTTCATAAATGTTTTGTGGCCATCAAAATGTCTGTGTTATTCTAAATAGTAAAACAAAGTGAAACCATTTGGAACAATTTGGAGATTTTTGGAGACGCTGGTTCAAAACCCTGCAGCTCTGGATCTAATGTAGCTAAAGGTCTGAAATTTTCAGCATTTATGGTTGACATGATGTAGAACAAATATAATACAATGACAAATGCCTTTTCTCATGCATGTCTTTATCACTTTGGTTAAAAAATGACCTTGAACATTTTCAAGAATAAAAAACAACTTTGAGTCATTTTGAACTGATGGACGGAGGAACTATTGGAGGAGAGAAACTTTGATCAAACTGATTTGGTTCCTACTAAGGAGATCTCTTCCTCGGTGCAGGAGGTGAACCAGGCTTTCATTTCAGCAGTAAGGAGGTGAAGTGGGGGGGTGCTCTGTTTATAGAATCCTGTTCTACTATCTGGTTGGCGGTGTTGATGTAGATCTATTAGTCTGGACATGTAGAGGAATCAGTGATAGAAACGGTTCAGTCTCTCTATCGCAGGATGACGTGGATGATGAACAGAAGCTGCTGATAGTAGTTAAAAAATTTATATATTTATTTAGATGGTGAAATATTTGATTTAGAAATATATATTTACTTTGTGAAATAAGAATTTAATCTACAACTATGAAACAAAGTGGTTCAGTTTGTGTTCACCGCTTATTTATTCACTTATTGTTGTTTTTTATCTATAAGCTTAAATTTAAACATCATTTTGCAGCTTTGCTTCACTTCATGTTTGTTTGATGTTTGCTTTCTGTTGCCGTTTCCATCTAGTTATATGTTTAGCTTAAAGATGCTACTTCTGGATTATTGGTTCAACTTTTTTATTTAGTTTCAAAGTATATTAATGGTATTTATTTTATTTACTCACCTTTGTTTGTCCCAGAATTTCCTGCTAAAATGGCCAGATGATGTCATTGATTACCTCACTGGGAGCAACCAATCAGAGGGTTTTCTTTGGAGAAACACTTTGTTTTTCTTTAAAGTAACTTTTTGAGTTATCTGGTATCACATTGTTTATTTTTCAGACTCTTTCATTATGTAGATGAGTTTGTAAATTAGATGAATAATTATATTCATGTTTCTCTGTTAAGACTTTTTTATTTTTTCTACCTGTTTAATTGTGGCTCGGTCCGATCGAGTGCAGGTGAGGCTAATTGGCGACACAAACGTGGAGTTCTGGGAGGCTCAGAGAAAGAGGCGAAATAAAAGAGGAATCTGGAACCGGTGGCTGATGCTGGTTGTTGATCCTTAACGTATTACTTCAGAAACTAAAACTAAAATTTTAAAAGCTAATTATTTACTTTAAAATATATATATATATTTAATTTGCAAACTTTTGGATAGAAACTCAAACTTTTAATCTAAGGATAAATATTTAATTTGCTAACTAAATATTCAATTAACAAGTTTGAAAAATTACATTTTTAATTTGCAAATTAAAAAATTATAGTTAATAATGCATGAATGATTATATGACTTTGAAATATTAAAACTATTTCTTCATTATATTTGAGTCAATTATAATTGACCCAAAACTGCCTCTAATATTTGATTTGGTGACTTTATAAATGACCTCATATCTGTGGTGTTTCTGTGGGATCATATTTTAATTTGTGTTTTTTCTATGATACCAGGTAACTATTTAGACTGGAGAGAAAAAGGTGAGCTTTAGATCTGCTGGATTTATCT